AACAGGGCCTGAGAGAGCCAGCTTTGAGTTGAAATATAGACTGTGGTTTATCTGTACTGACTACAGACTCTCTCGGGAAACTCAGACGGCTTTTTCCAAGAGTCTAACATCCACGACAGCTTCCAGCCAGCCAGGCAGCCCGGGTTTCAGCTTTGCCTCACCCCCTAACTAACATGCACAATTTCTGAACAAGCTCTGTCCCTTCTCCAGGCCTCACCAGATCAGATGACTTCCAGAGTTAGAGAAATCTGTGCCTCGGCAAGATGCCCCATGGCTTCTCAGTACCTCTCGAGTTTGCATGTTGGCTCTGGTCCTCTGCTCCGTTTTAGGTTTGAACCTTAGAGCCACTTCCCGATGCTCTGTTTTCTGAGTTATTTACTCATTTACAGTACTTTGATTTCTGCAATTTTGGCTTATGAAGACGTTTGCTCAATAGGAATCTCAAAATGTATTTGATTGTGCCAGTTCTGAGAATTCAAAGCAGATGTGACGCAAGTATCCCTGTTGAGGATTTCAAAACTAAATAAAAACCACAAATGGGAAAAGTTAAGAGCCAATGTGGTCTCAATCTTATAAAAAGGCTGCGGAGAATTGTTGGGAGTGGCTTCTGAGAGCAGCAATTCTGACTTGACCATGCTTTCTGCATTCAATCTAGCAGTTCATCTTTTTACAATGATGCAACTTTAAAAAAACACTCTTGTTTCTGACAGATTTGATCAGTGCAGACATTCAAGCTGCATACTGAACCCTAAAACACCATCTTTCCTACTTTTTTGCATTATAGAATCTATCTCACTGTTAAAACCCCTCAAGTATGCTGGGCAGTGGTAGTACATGCCTTTAATCCCATCATTCAAGAGGCAGAGGCAGGTGGTTCTTTGTGAGTTTAAGGCCAACCTGGTCTACAGACAGGACAGCCAGGGCTACACAGAGAAGCTCTGTCTCAAACAAAATGACAAACAAACAAACAAAAAGAAACTGAGTAAGAAGCCTGCCATGTATCAAAGAACTACAACTCTATTTCCAAATACTGGCCTTTACAGTGGGGTACAGCTGCTGTTTGGACATTTATATTTCCTTGCTTTGAAAAGAGGAACATCTCTTTTAACAAATGCTTTCCAGGGCTGGAGAGATGCCGTCAAAGGGTTTGCCATGCAAGCATGAGGGCCTGCATCTGAGCTCCAGACTCACGTTTAAAAAGTCTGCCACTGCCAGGCATAGTAGCACAGGTCTCTAATCACAGTACTTAGGAGACAGAGGCAGGTGGATTTCTGTGCGTCAGAGGTCAGCCTGATCTACAAAGGTGATGTGGGATGTCCTTCTGCATATGTGATACTTTTATTGGCTGATAAATAAAGCTCATTTGGCCAATGGCAGGATAGACTAGAGCTAGGTGGGAAATCCAAACAGAGATATGGAGAAGGCGGAGTCAGGGGACACCATGTCGCCACCAAAGGAAAAAAAATGTCTGAGCATTACCGATAAGCTACAGCCTCATGTTGCTACACGGATTAATAGAAATGGGTTAAATTATATGTAGAGCTAGCCAATAAGAAGTCTGAGCCATTGGTCAAACAATTACAATTGAGATTAAGTCTCAGATTGGTTAATTAGGAACAGGTGGGTGGGGACAGAAAGCCTCCAGCTACACATAGGTAGTGCCAGGCTAGCTGAGGCTACATAGTAGGACACTATCTTATAAAAAAAAAAAAGGACAAAAAATAGGACAAAAAAAAAAGGCATGGTGTCATGTGCTTGCAATCCCTGCACTGTTGAAGCAGAGGCTGAGGACCCCGGGGCTTTCAGTTCAGTCAGCTTAGCCTACTGGGCAAGCTCTAGCAAGAGATCCTGGGCAAAACAAACCTAAACAAGGTACACAACTGTCTACTGACTCCAGTTCCAGGAGATCTGCTACTCTTTGTGGACTCCACAGAATTGCACACAATGATACATACACAAACAAGCAGTTACACATATGAGAATACACACACACACAGAGAAACACACAGTTTTAAATGACAAGCAAGCTTTAACCTGAATGCCGTCAGACATCGTCACGTAAAGGTGCTGCAGTCCTTTCTTGCACCTTCAACCAGTAGTAAAGCCAGCTCAGCTCTCTGAGTGCTGTTGCCGCCAGGAGGATGTGTGTATTTGGGAGCCACATGGGAGTCACCTAGTGAATGTTAGGTCCCAAAGAAACACAATGGCTAATTGGGAAGCCTATTAACACATCAGAGTGGACCCTGGCTGCCAGGCTCTCTCTGCACAAGACCAGCTACAGAATCCTGGCTCCTCTCAGCTCTTCTCACCCCCACTCTAAACCGCTCCAGCCCTGAGCTTCCCTTCCCCTCCCCAGCTTCGCTTTTTAGAACCCAGCCCTTTTGGCCCGGGGCTCTTTCCCTCCTCTTGGCCTCCTTCTTGGTCCTCTTAGTGCTTGTGCTCTTGGTTCTCCACTCTTGGCTCCTGGTCCCCTTCCCTCACTTGCTCCCCCCTCTCTTCTCTTCTTTGCATGTTCTCTGCCCTCTCTCCTCTCATGGCCTGGTCTATTCTGCTGGCTGTGCTCAGTCTGGACTCTTCCAGATGCCTCTGTCTGTTCTCTTCTCATATGTACAATAAGCCTTCGCAACTATCCCTAGAAGCGTTTTATGTGCCCATTTTCACTCAGTGGGAGACATTCACAGCAATCCTGTGTTGCCCTCACACACACCGGGTGACATGGGGCCAGCTAGAAGGTGGCCAGACATAAGCCTGAGCAAGCACAAGCTTACAAACAGCTTCTCCAAGTGATGGTTCCCGATCAGGACACTGGAGTTACTCCAGAAGTCATTGCTGTTGACAGCTCAATATCGCAGATCAGACTCAGGGAGAAGGGCCCCTTGGCAAGGCCATCGGCACCTCTCCTGCTGTGAGGGACAGCACCGACTTCTTCACTAGAAGACTCAGCCCACCCTGACCAGCAGAGAAGAAGGACTTTCTGAGACTGCATGGCAGCCAGCCATCTGAACTAGATGCTGAGTCCAGAGAGTAGCTTGTGACTTGGTGGGGCTGAGCCCTCGGATGGGGGCTGGAACACACGCCAGCTGTCCAGAAGAGCCTGATAAATCCTGAATTGTCTGTGTGTATGTATGTGTGTGTGTGTGTGTGTGTGTGTGTGTTTAACAACTGGACTTTGTCCCAGCTGAGAGTTTGTGACAGTTTCCTAAACTGACTTTTACTCTATCAACTTGGTGGCAGTCTGTTGCATCATGAAGAGTTGGCCTGCACTAAGGGGACAGAAATCCAGTAAGACTCAGTAGGGCAAGATGGCCTTCACCTTGCAACACCTTTGCTGAGGAAGGGACTTGGAAACACGGTCTAGTTTAATACATTACAAAGTTTGACACCCATTTGTCAAGAGAAACAGAATTCTCCATGAAGACCTGGACACAACTCCATTTTCAACACTAATGTCTTTGACTTCTTTCCTCTCATTTGTGACCCAGTTGTCACAGAGATGGTGGTGGCGAGCGGGCGGCTTCCATCCCCAGAGCTCTTGACAGCCATGGTGCTTTTTAATCATTGCAGACGAACCAGCCAACCCGCCTGAGTTCTTGAGAACGGTTCCTTTCATGATTGCCGTCTAGGCTCCCCACAATCCAGTAAATCCACCAGGTAAAACAAAGGGAAGAATGGAGCCTCAAGGCTCCCGGGCAAGCGCTGTCCACAGCCGGTTATGATCAAAACAAGGCCAGCCCTGCAAATGCTGCTTGTGTTTTGGTGGTGTCCAGAGAGTCTGCAGTTCGTTTACCAGGCAGAAACTTTGGCCCAGATGTGGCCTTGTGACTGCAGGAAAACTGCTGATAAAGCCTAGGAGGACTGTCCTCCAGCACAAAACAAGGTCACAGAGGCAGGGAGTGCAGAAGAATGCAGATAAAGGGGTAAAAGATAGCTTGGTGGAGCGCTGCTTAGTACTCTCTCTAACAGCGAGCTTCGCCATGTGTGAAGAGCAGCGGGCGGCATAAACAGCGCTCATTAAAGTGAGCCCAGAGTCGTGTGCCTCTGTCTACCTCACCCTCCTTCCCCAGTCCCTAGGAGATGCCCACGGTTGTTCTGGCCACAGCAGTGTTTCCTCTTCAACTCTGATTAGCCTCCCAGGCTCCTCTAAGCCACACTGCTCCACTGCCAGAGTGCTCTCACCCAGAGGCAACCCCTGCTGGCCCGGGAACTCTGCAGCCTTGCAGCGAGCATGGTTAGCATGATGTAAGAATTGACAGCAGGCTTGGCTGGTTGCCTTGCCAGCCTCTCCAGTCCCTTTCATTGTGTTCTGTCCTCTCCAGCTCACACTCCAGCTGTGGTGAGCGGCGTGTAATTTGAGAGATACGCTAAGTGGCCTCTTGGATCCACAGCTTCAGCTCTACCTCTGCCTGGGATCCTTTTCACCTCAGACCCTGCGTAGAAGCCACCTCCCTGTATTCTCCGCAAGCTGGTCCCTGTCTTCCCTAAATTATTTCCAACCTTCTCATGCATGTATACTATGCATATGTGTGAAATACAGAAGGAACTCAATAAAGCACCCACACTACACTTCCTCTGCCTTCCTGCACAGTGGACCCACTGGGGCAGAGAATACTTGCTTTGGAAGGCTGCTGTCCAGTGCATCTGCCATACTGTACACTACAGGCGTGGGCTACTCTAGTAGAGGGTCTTAAAATGCTTTTAGCTACCAAACGAAAATTATGGGCCCTGCACACAGCCGTGTCGATTATCCTGCCAAGGCCAGCCTGTAGCGATTTGGAGTCTAGAGTCAACTGGACTGCAGAATGCCTGGCCTTGACCTCACGTGCACTGTGTGTCCCTCCCTACTGGAGTCCTAAAGTCTATGAAATGCAGAGAATGCTGTTACCTAGGGGAATACAAAGATTAAAGTGATGCACATAAAACCCAAACAAAGACCCAGGTCCAATGCTAGTAAAGAACCACACAAAACAAATGAAAGAAAACCCCAAGAAAGGACTACTCACAGAAGCCAGCAGCCGTCCGTCTTCCTTCATAGCAAGGTACCGGTTTGCACACACTCCCTTGATAGACACAACCCCTCTCTCTTCTGCTTGGAGCTGTAGTTTGACTGTAAGTAACACAGAAAAATTATCTTTATGGCACCAGAAAGCAAAGAGGCAGTCCCACTATACACAGAACACACACACACACACACACACACACACCACAAACATACATACATACATACATATACCACAAACATACACAACACACACCATGCCACATACCACACATACACAACACACACATACCATACCACACAGACAAACACATATATACTACACATACACAACGCACACATAACACACCACACACTACACACACATCACACAACACACACACACACATACACCACATACCACACAACACGCACAAACACATACACACACACCGTGCCAGCAAGGTACTGATCTAATGTGAAGATCAGCAAGCATAGAAGGAGTTGGGTGGATGTCACTTGAGCCGGGCTAGAAAGGGGATGATGCAGAGTCCTCATGCCATGCCCAACCATGCACACAGAGGACAGAGGAGGGAATGGATGGGGAACAACTACCCTCGCTGGCCTGCTTTGACCCTGTTCCCCATTCATGTCTTTAAACAGTCGCCATATGCTCCAGCTATTCTACTCCTGGGCATATACCCAGAAGGCTTGACAACCTACCACAGAGAGACTGGCACACCTGCGTCTGTGCTGCTGTTTACTACAGAAAAGAAACTACCCAGTCTGTGTATCCTCACCAAACAAATGGATATTATTCTGCTGTAAAGAAGAAGCCCATGAAAATCTCAGAACAGGTACAATTTTAAAGGGTAATGTTAAGTAAGGCAGCCTGAACTCAGAGAAAACCCTCCTGCCCTTCCTCCCATGTAGACCCTGCGCTAAGTATGGTTCTAAGTGTGCGTGTACAAACAGGAGCAGGTGTGGGGATAGCATTCACAAAGGAGAGTGAGCAGGCACTGGGCGATGAGGAAAGACTGGACACAGCAAAGGCATCAGAGAGGATAGAAGGCTAAGTTTCCTAGCTTCAGTTCTGTCCTGGTCGTTCCCCCTGGTAGACACGTGAATGAACACGCAGCTGGTGATCAGTGTGAGACTCCAGGCAAAGCTCCATGGCTTCAGCACGGCCACTCTAAGCGACAGGACTGGGAAAGCCTTGACTGCTTTCTTAAACCGGCTCTCTGGTGTTTCTACTTATGAGTTCATTAGAACAAAGTTTTGATGGACTTTTGTTTTTAATAAAATAAATGTGGAAATGAGGACATTTGCAAGATGTCTGTGAAACAATTTTAAAGCCGTGTTTGGCCATTTTTTCACAAATAAAGAGCAGTTCAGTCCACTGCTCTTCCTGGACGTCTCCCTGGCTTCCTCACAGCTTACTTCTATCTTTTCTTTCCATTTTCCATTTTCCAATGCATTATCTTTCCTCTTGAGGGACTTTCTGTTTAGCTATCCTTATTTTATAAGTATCGGTGGAAGTCCAGTATGTTCACACATGATTTGCCCCTGCAGAGTGGCACACTGCACTACATTATGGAGATTTCAGGAAAACAACACTGATTATAATAATGTGGCTTGGACAAAAAGTTATCAAATTAATTGAGAGTAAAATGAAGTTAAACATTTCTATTTTGCTATTTCAAGGGAGCATCTGCCTGCTAGGACAACCTTTCCAAAAATGTATTTTGCATAACAAATGTTACCTAAAACAAGTCCTGATGTCAAATAAGTTTTGTGAATTCTTTTGTTTGTCTTTCAAGACAGAGTTTCTCTCCATGTAGCCCTGGATGTTGTTGAACTCTTTCTGTAGACCAAGCTGGCCTTGAACTCACAGAGATCCACCTTCCTCTGCCTGCCTCCCAATTGCTGGGATTAAAGGTGTGCACCACCACCACCTGGCAATTTTGTGAATTCTTAACAAAGCCCAGAGCACAACAAAATACCCGAGAGAAGTAAACTAAAGGAAGGAAAGTTTATTGTAATGATCTGTTCTGTCTCTTTAAGAGACAAGCCATGCCCACTCCCCCCACCCCAGTCCGCTGAGGCCCCCCCACCCCAGTCGGCTGAGGCAGGCAGGTCTTCCTTCCTGCTTGCAGCCTGAGTCCCTTCCTTTTCTGTCTCCCTCTCGAAGAGGCAGCTTCTGCCTCTTCTCTCTCTCTCTCTCTCTCTCTCTCTCTCTCTCCCTCTCTCTCTCTTCCTCTCTCTCTCTTTTCAATTGTAGCTCAAGGTTTCAGGGGGTGTAGTCCATTGTAGCAGGAAAGGCGTGATGGGCAGTTCAGTGGGACAATGTGATAGCCACCTTGGTAGACCAATGGGACCAGAAGCAGGGCCAGGCAATCTCCTCCAGTGACCCACCCCTACCAGAAGAGTCCCCACACAGCACCCAGCTGGGGACAAGATAGTCAAATGTGTGAGCCCATAACAGTCATTTCAAACTCAAAATAATACCAAACTTGACTGCCAAACTTCTCACAACTCTGCCCAGTAAAAACCTATGATGTAAGTCATTATAACAGGGTCGGGTACAGAGTGTTCATCAAATGTGTTTGGTCCCAGAAAAAAAGGAAGTCATAAGTCCTCCAGTACAAATAGCCCATGGGTCCATCTGGGCACTACCCACAGGAGTAGAAAACCCTAATGACACTTTGAAATTTTAAAAGCCAATGCAATATGATTGTAAGGTAAATTTAATTTCCCTACTGTTTATAAGTAGCTAAAGAAGCAGCACAGAACAACTTCTGAAAGACTCTAAAATAATTATTAAATTGCTAGATATGTTTCCGTTATTATATCACACTGTTGTTCCTATCAGAAAATCATTATATACATAAAATGAGACCTAATATAGGAGATTAGTATTAAAATACTCAGCAGTATGTGTCTGTCTGTATGGAGTAGGTAGGGGAAGTAAAACACAATTGATGTGCTTCAAATCTATGCAAAACATGGTATTTCATGATTCTACTCTATCTTACATGTGTTTGAGAATTCATATGAAAAACAGTAGTCCTGCTGGGTAGGTCATTTCCAGCTCTCTCTGTGCAAGTCACCCCTGGCTCCAGAGAGCACTGGCCTAGTAAAGCACAAAGTTCCCCGGCCAAACTCTTCGACTGAATTTAAAAGATAATATAAAATGAAGAGAAGATAATCAAAACACAGAACCTAAACATATAATAGGAGTGGGAAATCTCACACTATCACTGGGAAAAGCAATGGAGCTGGACTTTAGTGCTATCATGTTCTGGTCACCAGGCCAGGTCCAAGGTACTCCAGAAGAGGTGATCTGCAAAGATTCAGACCACTCTAGCTTGTGCTGTGTGCCAGGTCGGGCAAGGATGCACAGCGTGTCACCAATCCTCCCTCTACTCCTGTCAACAAACTCTGCCTCTGTTCCAGCTCACTCTTCCTAATGTCCATTTCCACTCCCAATAGTGACTGTGGCATCAATGTGTGGATGGATCAGTGTTAGCCCCAGGGTAAATGTCATCATTCAGGGTCACCCACTCAGCTTCCTTCACAGACATCTCAGGTGACACGTTCTTGGCCATCTACCCACTAAGTAGTGGGCATTAATGTAGAGACTTAAAAAATAACCAGCGATGTTAACGAGCTGCACTCAAACCAAAACATATTAACTCCAAGCACAGATGATCCATTCACAATAGCTGATGTCCCTTTTACCCTAAGGGGATATCTGCCTTTGTCCTTGGTGGTGAGGTGTGTTTCTTGGATGCAGTAGAAAGACGAACTTTGTTTTCTAATCCAAGCCGTTAGTCTGTGTCTTTTAATTGAGGAATCGAGACCATTAATATTGAGAGTTGTCAGTAAGCAGTGTTTACTGATTCCTGTTATTTTGCTGTTATGGTGATGGTGGAAAGATGCAAGCAAGTTGAAAGTGAGAATAGCTGTGGAAGATGTGAAATGAACTCCTCAACCCAAGCGGGTGTGGCCACACATGACAACCCAGACCAAGTCAAGAGGCTCAACCAGAGACGATCAACACAGCACACAATGGCATGAAGTCAGGCATTTTACACAGGCAGTGTATGGCAGAACTCTAGAGTATTTGAAACAGAAACTGACATATAGGTTAAAAACATCAATCTTATGACATTATCAATAAAGCTTGGCCTTTTAGATAGGGTAGACATCATCTAATATATCTTTATCATGTTGGTACCACAATCATTTACTTCAATAGGATGTGTGAAAATCCTAACCCCACCAGTATGGCATGTCATCCTTTCTGATGTGCCCACTGTACTTGAATGGTCCAAATTAATCATTCTATCCAAGAAGCTTTTTCATAGAATCCACATGATATTCAGTGACATCGAAGGCTGAGGAGATGCTGTCACTAAAAGAGCTTGACCTAACACAAGGGCCTGTGCTCCAACTCCAGGACCCGCATATAAACTGGGCGTGGTACTGTGTCCTTGTAATCCCAGTCCTGGGGAGCTAGAGACAAGCAGGTCCCTGGGCTCCATGGCCAGCCAGCCTACTTTACTTGGTGAGATCCAAGCCAGTGAGAGATTTGTCAAGACGAGACAACAAGTCACAGCGGAAAAGATAATCTGGCGCGGAGTCAAAGGGTTGAGTCAGCTGATGACCCAGTGTGATTTTCTGCCGCCGTCAGAAAACACTGACCAAGAGCAACTTAGGTGGGGTGGTTTGAAGAAGAATGGGCCCCACAGGCTCATAGAATTGAATGCTTGGTCACCAGGGAGTGGCTCTATTAGGAGATGTAGCCTTGTTGGAGGAAATGTGTCACTGGGGTGGGCTTTGAGGTTTCAGAAGCTCAAACTAGGCCTGGTGGCTCATAGTTTTCTCCCTGCTGCCCGTGGATCAAGATGTAACCTCTCAGTTACTTCTCCAGCACCATGTCTGCTTGCCTGCTGGCAGGCTTCTGCCCGTGACGATAATGGATTAAACCTCTGAAACTGTGAGCCAGCCCCAATTAAATGCTTTCTTTTGTAAGAGCTGCCGTAGCCATGGCGTCTCTTCACAGCAATAGAATGTTGACTTAGATGTCAGGAAAGGAAAGGGTTAACTCCGCTTACAACTTATGG